GGTTCTGACAGCGCCAAAAATTGGAAAAACACAATTGTTTTTGCACGAAATCAATTTGAAAACACGATTAAGAGGCGTCGCTGTCGAGAATGAAAGGGGGACAACTCATATACTTACTATAAAACCCAGGTTGTTTGTGAGTGCGTGTCTGTGTTCGTTTATATATGGGATCGGATTTCCTACATTTTTCAACCGATTTCAACAAAACTTCACTTTTTTTGGCAGGTAGTGTTTCTTATTGTCTTGCACACTTTTTTCTTTATTTTTACATTCCGAATGCTTTATAAATTCCATTTACAAGACAATTGTTTATAATAAAATTCTATTCAATCGGTAGACTCATAACGATTGAAAACAATGTTTTTGTTGAGTTTGGGTTTGACCAATTCGTAAAAAATAACAAAAAAACAAACAAACAAAAAACAAAAATAAAATAAAAAAAAACTAATTAAGACGTGCGTGTTCGTCAACCTTAAACAATAATCTTTGTCAATTTTATTTTTCAGTCTTTATGATGGTCGATACTTGATCTATCTCTTACTGTTACATCCCCGGGCAACGCCGGGCTCTACTGCTAGTATTTAATATACATCAAGGAAGAACGAGATTCACAAATGCCTTGCAAGATGTTCAGAAACAGCAAATGTTTTTTTATAAAAGTTTTGAATAAGTAAATCTGACTCACTTTGCCAAGCGATAGGCCTCAACGCCAGGGAGCATTTCCGAATGACGAGGAATAATCCCTGTGAATTAATAATGCTCTGAATCCAAGACGAAGGACCGAAAATTGACTTCTGCAATTTAACGGTAATCAAAAAATGTAGGACATCCGTCACAACAAATCTATTCTTCAAAATCCACCCCCCACCAAAAAGGAAAAAAAGAAAAGAAAATTGCTCCCCTCACGTTTTGATGGGGAAGTCAACAATAATAATGACTTATTCATTTAAGATTCTTTAGCTTTGATAGATTTACAAATGGGAACCAAAGAAAAGAAAGAAGAAAAAATGACTTAATTGCCATTTTGGTACAATACTTTCAAAGGACTTCTGGCGAGGGAGGCATTTTAGAAAAGGGTAAGGAAGCAGCGGTTTGGCAAATTTGTTTTGCTTTAAAGATTTCATCAAATTCTGAGAGCAAAGAAAAGCATCTATTTTTATTTTGTAACCAAGAAAATTAAAGTGATCGTGAAGATGGTCTTTTGGTATAATCTTAAAATTGATTTGACTGAATGTGCAGCCGAAATAAAATCACCATTGACTTTACTTGTGGATAAGATGAAGGAGAAGGTCGTTGCTAAAAACTTTGTTTTGACATCGAGAAATTCATAGGAAAATATTCTTGATTTATGGGAATATAAATCTTTAGAAGAATCGAAGTACAATTCGTTTTTTTTTGTGAGAAGAGAAACGCTATGTGGATTGTTAAAAGATGCTTTATTAATAGATACAAGGGCGTATCAATAACTCAGTAGCCTGACACGAACGTATTAGCTGAATTTTGATCTGTAGGGAGTTCGATCTCTGTAATTAATATTCCCCGTTGAATTATGTGCATTGACAATGCAGAGGGTAACTTTAAAAATAGTCCATATATAATATAAGCATATTTTTATCGTTGAGCTGCGAAATTATATATATATATATATATATATATATATATATATATATATATAATGGTAATAATGGACTCTCCCGTCGGTTTCGACGTATGAGGATCTGACAGCTTAATTGTTTCAGTTATGAAATTTTGTGCGATAAGCGTACGTGGAACTTAAGACCCGCTAGTGATTTACAAAGGAGGCTGCATATGGAGGATTGTGGGATGAGATCACTGTTAGATTAGCTGACCTTGTAGATCTTGCTCTCGCTTCTTGAAGACGATTCAAACAAGCAGATTGAAAATTGCTGAGTCCATTAAAACACGTTGATCTACATTATTAATATATATATATATATATATATATATATATATATATATATATATATATATCTCAACAAATAGAATCAAATTTTCAAATTGTCGTTTCCGACGATGAATTTCACAGATATAGCATTCATTCGTCAAGGTGGTTGATAAAAAAACTGTCTTTTTTACAGAAATCATCCATTATGATATAATATGATTTCTGTAAGTAAATTTAATTTCTTAAATTTAGTTCCTTAAAGAGTGGATGGCATAGCTGTTAAACTCTTATTCGGGAGAGATAAGTTGAACATTTAAATTTATTTGTTGGCATAAATGGTATTCAAAATATTAGAACATCTCTTGATATTTAGCAACTTTAATCATAAATATTGCTTGCTTTAAAAACGTTTATCCTCCAAAAATATAACTGGATACTTATATTTTTTAGTTATATATATATATTATATATATATATATATATATATATATATATATATATATATATATATAACTCCCGAAGGGTATATTAAAATAGCACAACGAGGTATAGTGTTCAATACCAGTATGGCGGAACATTATATAAAAATTCTTATATGTACCATATGTACGCCGGACATTTTTATAATATATATATATATATATATATATATATATATGTGTGTGTGTGTGTGTGTGTGTGTGTGTGTGTGTGTGTGTGTGTACGGAGGTGCAATGAAAATTCTCAGCTTCAATCACATGATAGTCTTCTTTGTTAGACCGAAAACATTCCATAACCATCTCCTTTTTGAGTGGTACTCGAAATGTAATGCCTTACATTATATTCGTCAGAGGTTGGTGTGAGCGGTATGGCACTAGAGGCTGAACCTCCCTAACGATAACCCATAATATTTTATCTTACTACAGGTGGCAATCTGGAAAATTGTTGTCTGACATGAAAGAGAATCTGAAGTAGAGGTATCATATGCGAAAATATTTGCATCCATTAACATTTGCTAAATTGAAAACTAGTGAAATAGTGAATTTGAGCGAAGTTAGGTCGTGCTTAATTAAGTTCTGGGAGGTCCTGCACAGCTGCTAATCGACAAAATGAAGAGCGACATAACCCAATAGCAATAGTAGCTGAATATTTGCCTTCCGCAACGGAGGTATTGTTCTCCTGTAGCAGAAGTATAACACATGTCAGAATAAATAAATTCAACTCGTAGAGTATTTTTCACACACACACACACACACACACACACACACACACACACATATATATATATGTGTGTGTGTGTGTGTGAGGCAAAAGTCACGCACCATTGGGGTTAATGGATAGGTCCTGGTGAGTGGCCACTGAGGTCACCAGACGTCACACCCTTGGATTTTTTTTTTCTGTAGAGCTATATGACATCAGTTATTTATCAGGCGCTCCCAAGAAATATTAGGGAACTTAAAGTAGGAATTAAATATGAATGCAGTAAAATGACAGAGGAAACTCTACGACGGGTTAATGAAAAATGCAGGCACAGAATTGAAATGTGTTTTGAAAAAGATGGAGGACATTTTGAAAAGCACATATAACAACTAAATAACTAGTAAATAAAATTTTCATGTGTTGTTATACTTTTAATAAATTATCCCTACGGCGTTCGACTTTCGCCTCACCCTGAAATATATATATATATATATATATATATATATATATATATATATATATATATATTATACACTCGACAGTTCAACAGTTTGAAGCCACCCACCAGAATTAGCATGGGATTAACTTGACAGAAGACGGACAAAACAATGAAAAAGAGCTCTTGGAGTCATTGAAAAAAAGAATGGAATCAAACTCATACTTTGAGAAACTTTTGCAACAAATGGCAAAGTTTTGTTTTACAGTAATGTAATCAGAAAATACTTTATTTCTTTTTTTTATCATAATAAAAGTTCTAATAAAAAATAATGTCTCACATTTTTTTTAACAATGTATAATAATTTTTTCTTATTTAAATTACGAAAACAACTACTTTTGGGGCTAATTTAAAAAAATTAGCATGAGTGGCCTCAACTTTTTGAACTGTAGTGTTTATATATATATATATATATATATATATATATATAATAGCACAAATAATGTAAATAGTGTATATATATATATATATATATATATAACGTCATCCACAGACAGACTGTTTCGCAGCTCATCAGTGTGGCTAGACATCCGGTTGCCTCTAGCTAGGATCGAAACCCGACTGAATTGGTGTCAGATTCTAACCATTAAGCCGTCGGCGCACGGTAGGGATGAAAGTAGATTTTTTTAACGTATTTATTTTTTTTATATATATATATATATATATATATATATATATATACAGTGTAACCCGGATATAAGAGAGTTGTCGGGACCGGAGAAGAAGTCTCTTATATCCGGGTTTCTCTTATATCCGGGTCTCTTATATCCGGGTTACACTGTATATATATATATGACAAACTGGAAGAGTTTTTGTGGATTGAGGTGGAGCATTTTCATCATGAATCAAGACTCTTTGGAGTAAAGAGACAGTCTCAAGGAACGCAGTCTTCTGTAACTGTAGAACTCCGACATTGAACCCAATCTTCGGCCACTTCAAAAGTACAGTATGTATGGCGTCCAGGACACTAATAACAATGGGGAAATTGTAAACTTTTATACTATTATAGTATTCCGGCTTTTATTCTCTCCTATGTCAAATGCTTTGTCTTCTGGACATACAGTTTCTCTGATGATGCATGTGCTTTCTTCTTTATCCACTACCACAATGTCTGGTTTTCTGCGCAATACTTCATGGTCAACTGGACCATTGATTGATTGATCCGTTTTTTACAGCTTATCAACCTTTTGCAGGTTACTTAAAGACGGAAAATATTTTTGGATTGTAAGAATTTTTTGAGATAATAACGGTTTAGTGATGCAAGTCTTACTAATTAATCCATAGCTCCGGGGAGAAGAAGCGGATTCATTCCTTTCGCAAGCCTATTTGCGCATAACGAACCGAACTGGAATTGGAACTCGGCTCTCTTAACAATTCCGAGCCATTATCCATTACACCATCTGCACATCCAAACTTAGAGTACCTGGTATTCCCAAACGGTCACCCAGTAAGGTACTGACCAGGATCGACGTTGCTTAACTTCTGTGATCGTACGGGAAATCAATTTTTCATCATAATGTGGCTGTAAGTCACACTGGATTATGACATCACACAAAGTTTTTACTTGCCATTTTCACTGACACTTTTTGGAGTTTGTCTATACACCTTTTTCTGCCCTATCAGTCTATAAATAGTATATAATCATGTCTCTCTTTGTATTTTCGAAATTATTATTATCATTATATTATTATTATTATCATCATCATTCGATTTCTGCTATGGACACACTACCTACCAAGTCTGCGGAAAGACCTAAGGCAGGTCGTGGTGTGTTGTTATGGCCACATTTCGGTGAAGTTGCTAGCGTTACATAGACAAAGTTCTCCTTAGTGTGTGTGCTGTACTTAATAAGACAATTTTCTGTATGTCTCTTAAGCTGGGGTTTCAGGGATTCTTTCAATGTGTTGTTTTGTTCCATTTTTATAATTCCAAGTGCACCTATTACCACTGGTATTATTCTTGTTTTCAATTTCACATTTTTTTCTATTTCAATTTCCAGGTCTTTGTATTTTGATAGTTTTTCAAATTCCTTGGTTGCTATGTTACAATCCGCTGGACAAGCCATATCAATTAGTAGGCAAGTTTTTTCTTTCTGGTTTTTGACAATAATGTCCGGCCTATTTGCTTCAATTTTTCTGTCTGTGTGGTTATTATTATTATCATTATTATTATTATTATTATCATTATTATTATTATTATTATCATTATTATTATTATCATTATTATATTATTATTATTATTATCATTATTATTATATTATTATTATTATTATTATCATTATTATCATTATTATATTATTATTATTATTATTATTATTATTATTATTATATTATTATTATTATCATTATTATATTATTATTATTATTATTATTAAAATCAAATAGTAATTACCTCCTCGAAATAAAATACTGTAAAATAGCAGATGAGACTTTTATTACAGAATTTTTTAAAGAATAATTTTAATACTTAAACAAAAGAAAAGATGAAAAATAATATACAAAATACATCAGACATACATTTTTTTAGTTTCTTTTTGGGTCAGAAGTGAGAAATTTATGTTAAGTCTCATGTTAGATTGTAGAAATTCCTCCTGAAGGAATTATCGTGCAAAAAAAAAAAAAATAATAATAATAATAATGATGCTAAGTTCAAGAAAATAAAACAGGTAAAACTCAACCCGCCTTTCACCAAATTGAATCTTGTGGGCTTCTCCACCTTTCAATCTAGACAAAGAAGATTACCCCTTTGAAAAAGCCAATCAGTTATATTTATCATGCCACGTAACAGCAGAAGAATTATCTTGAGTTGATAAAAATCAGTGCCAATCGACAAGATATCCTTGGAAGCCCACACTGCAGGATATCATTGCAACCTTTACCTCCGGAGATTCTGTGTTATGGCAGTGGGGGTTATGTGCGTTAGATACCTTTCTCCAACAGAGCTGGAATCAGTCAAATGAATTTCAATCAGGGGATCATTTTCTTCGTGAAGGGAGAAGGTTGGGCAATGATAAGATTTTACCAAAGGGAACTTGAGGGCTATACTAAAACAATTTTCCTATCTTTCAAACCAGGTGTTACACAATTAATCTAAGAAAAATTACCCACGGAGGTGGCCATAAAAGCCGGATTCTATTTGATTGGTTAATTTAATTTGTGTTGAAAAAAAGTGTGGGGCTCTTTGAGGTGGAAGTGGTAGAAGCAGATGGCGCAATGAATACTTTCTTCAGTTTTACAAATTTCAACCAGATTAGTTTGTACAGATAGGCAGCCATTTTTTTAAAGAAAAAGATGGAAGTACGGACGGAAATATGCCTTTTTTCTTCTTTTTGCACATTTGGATGGTTTTAACTTTAAACCAGATTCAAGTTTCTGAGTCATGAATGTGAATTTAATTCCTAAGCCATCGGTTTAACTGAAAATCTAGATTTTGACTTTCAACCTTTGTTAAGAGTTATATTTTGCAAACGTAATTCAAAGAGTGTTCAGCGTTTCAAACGAATTCTGCATATACAAATTTGCATTATGTTTTTTGTTTGTTTGGCGGCATATCAACTCCTTATGGGTCATTTAATGCCGAAATTTGATTTTCTGGGAAGCATTAGTAATTTCTTTTACAAAAACTGTGTTGCTAGTAATGTTTTTTTTTTTTTTACAAAAATATATTTCTGGTAATTTTTTTTCCTATGAAAATGTACTGCTGGTATTTTTACTATAATTTTTTTATACTTTCATAGTGTATGGGTATACACTTTCATATATGGGTAAGTAGTTAACTACTTACCCATATCTGGAACCCTACCACCCCGACTAGGGTGGACCCAAGAACAGCAGCAATTAAGAGGTGGTTCTACGCTCCTCAAAACTTCCTGATCAGAGGCCTTGCTGCCGAATGTAATTTATCGTCATACCCAGGACGGCAAACCTGCCTTATCGCCGTGACACAAGATATTTTTTTCAAATAGACTTATATTGTGAAATCTACTCCCATTTGAAAAGTGACATATTCGGAATATAGCGTCAAAAAATAGCGTTCTGACAGCAATACAATTTATTTCAACTATTTCTGCTCCAAATAGGAAATGAAATGTTCTGCAGTATTTATAACCATATCTTTCAACTCTATATTTTACGTTGGTTTTCCAAAATATAAACATGCCTTGTTTCCAGATGCTAAACGAAGGCTCAGAATAAGAGTCACTTAAAAAAAATTCTACGTGGTATATTAGGGAGATGTTTAGTATGCAGAATCCGTTCAGTGATTTTGTTCTGTGTAGGGAACTAGTCTAGTGGATTTAGTATCATATTAACTGTGAGTTCAATCCCTGGGCCGGGCAGTGTGTATTTGAACTCAGCAGAAACGGGGTGAACAATAACTAGTACTAAAAATGAGGACTAGATGTTAATTCGATTTGTTTGCTTAACGGTACGTCAATTCTTCATGGGTCATTTAATGCCGAAATGTAACTTTCTTGAGAGCTTTGAAGTAATAAAAATATGATATCTGTTATTCTGCTTTCACAATTGTATACATGGTAGATGATACTCAGCTTTTGTGCATATTCATGTTTGTGTGGAAATAATTACTAGAAGCGGTGATATGTGTGTTTTATATTGTAGTTTTGTTGAAGCTATATTTTGGAATACAGTTTGCTTTCTTTAAGAAATTGTCGGATATGATATGTCATGAAAGAGTTCTTTCATGTTGGTTGTTTGATTTCATTTAGCGGCATATCAACACCTCTATGGGTTATTTAAAGCCGAAATCTAAATAATCTGAACCCAATTTATGGCTTTAATTAAATATATCTTGAAAGCAACAGTATACCTTCAACCACAGATGAAATGTTTTGGTAGTAATTCTATTATATTGCTGGCCAATTTGCTTTAAAAGTGTATTGCCGGTAATTTTTATTATACATATGTATTGTTCGTAATTTATACATATATATGTATGTGTGTGCGTGTGTACTGTTGGTAATCTTATTAATGTAACTATATATTTTTTAAATATAAATATGTATTTTTTAATGTAAATATGAACGTTTTATATGAAAATGTATTTTTATACTTTCGTAGTGTTTTGTATTTCTTTATTATTTGACCATAATTGGGACCCTAACAGGTGCTACCACCTCGGGTCAGGGTGGACCTGTGAACATCAGCAATTAAGAGATGATTCCACGCTCCTCAAAACCTCCAGTCTCTTGATAGGAAGCCTTGCTACCGATTATAGTTTATCGCCATACCCAGGACTAGAAGTAGATGTGATATCCTTAAACATAGCCAGTGGAACGAGAACAAGTCTACACCCGTAGCTGTTGGTTAACTGGATTGATATACTCCTGATGAAGGCCAGAGGGCTCAGCGACTGAAACGTTGTGATAGTAACAACAAAGATAAGGACACTTGTAAACAGCTTTAATAATGATAAAATCCTCAACCCAGAAATTCATACATAAACAAACCACAATGTACATTTTGCAAACATTTAAAGAGTGATGAGCAAGAAACGTCTTAAAATAGTTACATTTCTGTACCTGCTTGAGTCCCCAATCCAAATCTCATTTCTTTGCCTGTCTTTTTTTGCTGATGACCATATACTCCATCTTCTTAGTTAATAGTTAGTCCTTTCGTCTCCCTTTCCTTTCCTACAGATAGTAAACAGGGCTTACATCAGATCTGTTACGCTAACTGAAGTTAAGCAATGTCGAGTCTTGCCGGTACCTAAGTGGGTAGCAGCTTGGGAATAACAGGTTCTGTAAGCTTGGATGGGTGGGGAATATAATGGATAACGGCTCCAAATTGGAAATCGAATAACAGAGTTCCAACTCTAGTTGGGTTCGTTATATTCACTTATACACAAACACCCGTGGTAGAGATATGAATCCACTTCTTCTCCCTCCAGCTATGGGTTAAATAGTAGAACTTATATCACTAAATCATTATTATCTCAAAAAAATTCTTACAATCTAAAAATATTTTCTGGTTTTAAAGAACCTGCAAAAGGTTGATATGCCATAAAAAATACAAATCAATCAGACAGTGAACAAGATTGTTCATTTGTTGGCTGATATATTCTTTTGTATTAGTGAATAAATATATTTGTTGTGCTGGTGGCTCAACAGTTAACATGACAGAAAATGGAATCATTGAGATTGAGTTCAAACTGTAGTAGTTCATGTTCCCTCTTCACTAATAACCTTGAGCAAGAAGTGAATACATCTCTTTTTCTATCAGCTGTGTTTAAAATAACTGAACAGAATAAACACTCTAGCCTTGTTTGGATACCAGGTCAGAAGGACAACTCTATTCCCCCTCCAGCTATTGACAAAAATAGCACAATGGCTGGTAACCCCACTTTGTAAATAACTACTTGCTAAAATCATTGATTCAGCTGTTCATTATGTCAAACATTTACACTAGATCCTTGGAGCTAGGGACTTGCAGTATAGCATAGATTCTGGTGACATGTAAAATCTCACAATGATTTTTGTTAA